AGAGAAAGATAGGAGAGAGAGAGAGAGGAGAGAGAGAGAGAGAGAGAGAGGAGAAGAGAGAAGGAGATGAGGAGAGGACCGCTGGAGGCAAGAAGGGAAGTCCAGGAGCACGGCGCGCACCCGCTGCTGACTGCTGCGACTGTTCTCAAACCTGGGAAAGTTCCAGGGGCAGGCTGGCTGGCGGAGGGATCTGGCACGCAGGCACTGCGGCTCCAGCCTGGCTGACGCCGGGGTTGTGGCGCTCTGCTCCGCTCGTGGAGGCTCAAGGGCTCCTAGCAAACACTCTCCCCACCTTGCTCTATCCGCGCCGCGCTCATCTGGGAAACCAGACATCACACGCATGAACAGAGAGACAGGAATCGCCCCCGTCATTCACAACAGTGAAGCGCTGTAGTGAATGGACATCACACAGCAGAGGTGAGAGATTAAATATTTTGCTTTTTTAAATGATATTGATAACTTTAATGCGTGGGTCTTCTAGGGGGTTAGTGTAATTGATTGGCTATGAGGCTATCACACACAGGATCATGTTTTTTAAGTATACAGTGTAATGAAAAATGGTAAATGATATGGTACTTTTGGGTATTATCAACAGTAAAATACTCTGAAACGTTTTACTGCTGCATACTGTAAATTATGGTGCATTATGGGGAAATGTTGTGGGAGGGAAATGAAATGCTGTATTTCGAATGGTACTGTAATTCCACACCACAGAATAGAGTACCATACCGTATCTTTGTAGTGACAAAAACCTGTTGACCAGGGACGGCCTGTTCAATAGGGCGATATGGGCGACGCACTGCCAAACGGGAAAAGGAAGGGATTTTTTTTCTAATCAATTATATCACGGCAACAGTAGTTATCAGTGTTGTAATCTATACGTCTGATCTGCCACAGTGCCACACTGCCACTAAATGTCGAATCAGGCTAAAGTCGTGCTTCAAATGGCTCCACCCCCTTTTGGGGCGATTTCAGTCAGATTGAAAATCGCCCAGAACTTCTGTCATAGACTCCCATGTAAAATCTATTTTTTTCAAATTTCAGAGCCTTCAATACAATCTCAATGGGTGTCTGTGGGCTTGCACTTACGCGCTTTCGTCACATGAACGTAACTAAGAAAAGAGAGGGTAGCAGCGTCAATCAATTCACTACTACTATCAACATGGCTAGGCTTCAGTGCAACTCGGTTGTGTCTTTGAAAGAATTTCCTTTTGTCGGCGAACAAATGAAGATAAATTGGCAACGAAACAATTAGGACCTCCCAGACCAAATTTAATAATTCAACAGGTTTCTACTAAAGGCGGAAAGTCCTACACCCGAGGATTTTCAAAAATTGGTAGAACGAAAAAAAAAGACATTGCCACTCACTCAACTGGATGACGAGGGATACAGGCTAGCTGTCCGCCGCCACAACGATGAGGTTAGTGTTGATAATCACAAGTTTACTGGATGTGGAAATGTCTCCGGAAGGTGGTGAGTGACTCCGCTGTCCTGGCGTCGTGAGGGAGCTTGTTCCACCATTGGGGTGCCAGAGCAGCGAACAGTTTTGACTGGGCTGAGGGGGAGCTGTGCTTCCGCAGAGGAAGGGGAGCCAGCAGGCCAGAGGTGGATGAACGCAATGTCCTCGTTTGGGTGTAGGGACTGATCAGAGCCTGAAGGTACAGGGGTGCCGTTCCCCTCACTGCTCCAAAGGCAAGCACCATGGTCTTGTAGCGGATGCGAGCTTCAATTGGAAGCCAGTGGAGTGTGCGGAGGAGGGGGGTGACGTTGAGAGAACTTGGGAAGGTTGAACACCAGACGGGCTGCGGCATTCTGGATGAGTTGTAGGGGTTTAATGGCACAGGCAGGGAGCCCAGCCAACAGCGAGTTGCAGTAGTCCAGACGGGAGATGACAAGTGCCTGGACCAGGACCTGCGCCGCTTCCTGTGTAAGGCAGGGTCGCACTCTCCGAATGTTTGTAGAGCATGAACCTGCAGGAGCGGGTCACCGCCTTGATGTTGGCGGAGAACGACAGGGTGTTGTCCAGGGTCACGCCTAGGCTCTTCGCACTCTGGGAGGAGGACACAGCGGAGTTGTCTACCGTGATGGCGAGATCATGGAACGGGCAGTCCTTCCCGGGGAGGAAGAGCAGCTCCGTCTTGCCAGGGTTCAGCTTGAGGTGGTGATCCGTCATCCATACTGATATGTCTGCCAGACATGCAGAGATGCGATTCGCCACCTGGTGATCAGAAGGGGGAAAGGAGAAGATTAGTTGTGTATCGTCAGCGTAGCAATGATAGGAAAGGCCATGTGAGGATATGACAGAGCCAAGTGACTTGGTGTATAGGGAGAAAAGGAGAGGGCCCAAAACCGATCCCTGGGGGACACCAGTGGTGAGAGCACGTGGTGCGGAGACAGCTTCCCGCCACGCCACTTGGTAGGAGCGACCGGTCAGGTAGGACGCAATCCAGGAGTGATGGTTGTAATAAAGGCAGTTATTCAGAGGTAAATATATCTGGAATCGCGTTCACGGACCCGTTCGTCAAACTCTTAAAAATGAACTTGGGCTGGGAATTGCCAGGAACCTCACCGATAAGATATATGCATCAGCATTGCGAGTCTCATGATTCTATACGTATTGCGATTCGATACTGTGATTTTATTGCGCACCATATGTCTGTTGCAGAGGGATCAGAAAGCCATGAGAACGAGTTTTGATCAGTCATGGAAATAAAAGTGCTGAAAACAAATTGGCTCCCAATGTGAAAAGATTGAGAACAAGCTATGAAGGAACAATAATGGTGTTTTGGTGCAGGTACAGCCAACTAGCGCTAAAATATTGCGATATTGTCAATACAGTATATCGTAAAGTATCACTATGTAACTCGATTTCTTTCACCCCAATCCCTCAAATTAACGGTAAATAACTGAATTGTTTGCCCCACATTTAGCTAAGATGATTAGCTAGCCAGCTAAAATGTTTTAGTTAGTTAGCAGTCGCATCTACAATAGTTTACTGTCAATAACATGTCTCCAAAAATGACGTGGTGTCTCCAATTGTGTTGACATTTTACAATTGCAATGCGCATCCATGAGTATCCACTTTCTGTAGCTCAGCTGGTAGAGCATGGTGCTTGTAACGCCAAGGTAGTGGGTTCGATCCCCGGGACCACCCATACACAAAAATGTATGCACGCATGACTGTAAGTCGCTTTGGATAAAAGCGTCTGCTAAATGGCATATTATTATTATTATTATTATTATTATTATTATCTGAAGAGAGCCCCGAAACATTGTGTGCAGACATTTTATGCAATAAATGAAGTAGGTTCAATCTAGTAGTTCTGATCTTCTGATTGGTCCTGATGAGTTGGGCGAGGTCCCCTGCAGGCTACTGTCACTGTTGCATTGGCTCTGAGTCGGGTTCTCTGTCTTCAAATGTTCAGCCTAAGAGAGGGGATTTTTGTGTGTGTGTGTGTGTGTGTTTAACAGTGATGATGTGTGTGTGTGTGTTTAACAGTGATGATGTGTGTGTGTGTGTGTTTGTGTGTGTGTGTGTCCTCAGAGCAAGAACTCGTGAGTTGGAAGAACTGAGAGGCCTATGGCGTGGGTGTTGTCCTTGGCCACCTGCTGACAAGGCTGACAAGATAGGACCCTTTTGTCCATTGTTATTGGATAGGAACAGAACTTATAACCAGCTCCTGACCTAAATAGATCTTAGCACAACATTTTACTCAACATATCATATTCCATATTCACTATAACAAATATATTTACTACGACATTAGCAAGAACCGCCACATCCTCAGCCGGCTAATCCAGTGTGTGAAGTTTTGCGGAGTGTTTGAGTTAGCTTTGCGAGGCAAAGATGAAACTGAGGGCTCCACCAACCCTGGTAAGCCAACACTTTTGAGATCAGTCAATAAATGCTTCTGGTATTGACTTATATGCTGCCCCTGTCTTCATGTTGTTGCTGGACATATCTTTTTTTAAATGTGTGTAGGTCACCTAAATCATCAGAAAAATTGCCCCTCCTGAGAATTTTTTCAGGAGCCGCCACTGCTGTTGACCACTAGTGGGTACATGGTATTGTAGTTTATGGCTCATTAACATATTTAGAGGCGTGCTCTGTTTGTTGCACCAGTGAGAATGCTGGACCAATTTAACTCCAATGTGGTTATAGTGCCCCATCAATGTGTATGGGGGACAGATTGGAGTGGCAGCAGGTCTTAAACCTTAAATGGTTGAGCATTTTGCCATGTCCTTCTGGTCTGTTTTCCCCTGTAGTCGCTGCCAGTTTGAAAGCCTTTGTTAAGGCCTTTAGATGTGCCACTGATATAAAACACCAACTATCCATTAATATACTGTAATGTGTAACAGCCATGTAATTACAGTATAATACTAGGAAATAGAAACCCCTCACCTCAATGAATTTCAAAGAGCCATTTATTCATTCCTATTACTGAATTAAAAAAATTTTTACAGTACCTTTTACGGTATTGTACTGTGTGTCATTACACAGTACTTGCTTTGATACTGTATTTATGTTGCAGTAGGTGTACTGTAATATGAAATGCAGACTTTTACTTGCCACCCAGCTGCCTGTAAGCTACTGTCAAATTCACAGTAACCCCTTTACAGTGTAGGTGAAACAATATGAACGTGATGATTATTGAAGGTATGATTAACTTTTATTTTATCACAATCTTTTTTATTTCACCTTATATTTAATAATGATCTTAGGCTATTCTGTGTTCATGGGAAGTTATTGTCCCATTTTGAAAGCGTGGTTGGCTTTTGACTATAGTGGGAAACAACATTGCGAAATAGTAGAAAACATTGTGATGCATATGTAACCTACTACAATGCGGAAAGCGGTTACCTTGTCGCCCTGTGATAGTGTGTAGTTGGGCAGAGGGCGGGGAGGGGAACTCGTCCTCAACATGTCATGTACAGAAGAAGAAAAAAACTTCCTCGTAGTAAAGGGAAACTGGTGTGTTTACTTTCGGGGTTGTCTGCTGATGATAAAGCATACGGTAATTAAGCCTATCTCAGCCCGTAGACTGAGTGACGCCAGCTTCAGAAAGGAGTCAACGCAGGCAGAGCGGAACAGACGCGCTGGTGCCGCGCTACCGCATTCAAGTGCAGTGGGCGGTGAGCGCCTGTAGTGCGCGCCACATTTGCCAAAATACAAACCTACGCTGTTATAGGCTACTTTTCCAACTGATATACAGGGTGAATATGTGGCGTCAGATGATTCCATTTCTTAATTGACCGTGACTGACTGAACTGAAGAAAGAGAGGCCGTTCAGTCCTCGCTCTGTCCTGTATCCATTCGAACAGAGTGCCGCGCGCAGACACAGGATAACTCCAGTGCCTGCTGCTGAATTATAGTGACGCTTGCTCTCAGCATGTTTGGCATTCCTATGTTCCCTAGGCTAGTACATTATTTCTATGTGGTATGGATTTTAATGCAGATATATCATGATTATAACAATACATTCGTTTTGTTGTCATCTCAGTCCAAGAGAGGTTCAAACATGAAGAGTGACAGATCATAAACAAACAGTAGCCAGGGTTTTTGAGGATGAAACAGGACTGAAAATCACAAGAATCCCTTTTTTACAAGACCACATAAACTACTCAACTACTGGACTACTCTGTGTAGGCTTCATTAGACTGTTTTACAATGGAATAAAGATCCCTCTCTTTTTGTATGGGAGAGAGAGAGAGAGAGAGAGAAATAATCAAAGAAAGAGAGAATGAAAGAGAGAAAGAATGGTGCCACATTAAAGTTGTTTTTTTTAAAGCCAATATCTGAGTTCTTCCATTATGAATGGCACATTAGGTAATGTTGCAAAACCTTGCTGGAAGAGCCAGCCTGACTAGGAGAGAGAGAAAGCATGCCTGCCTGAATAAGAATGTTTCCATTTCCATGCTGTCTGTCTGTCTGTCTGTCTGTCCGTCCATCCATATGTGAGTGGTGTGACCAGTGCTGGCCAGACAGTGTGGCTCCTCACTATGAGACAGTGGGATGTACACTGAGTCAATACTTTGTAGAGAAGCACCTTTGGCGGTGATTACAGCTGTGAGTCTTTTAAGGGTGACCTGCTTAAGAGCTTTGCACATCTGGATTGTAGAATATTTGCCCATTATTCTTTTAAAGAATTCTTCAAGCTCTGTCAAGTTGGTTGTTGATCATTGCTACACAGCCATTTTCAAGTCTTGCCATAGATTTTCAAGCCGATTTCACTCAAAACTGTAACTAGGCCACATAGGAACATTCAATGTATATTCTTTGGAGGCAACTCCAGTGAAGATTTGGCCTTGTGTTTTAGGTTATTGTCCTGCTGAAAGGTGAATTCGTCTCCCAGTGTCTGTTGGAAAGCAGACTGAACCAGGTTTTCCTCTAGGATTTTGCCTGTGCTTATAGCTGTATTCCGTTTCTTTTTGTCCTAAAAAAACTCCCTAGTCCTTGCCGATGACAAGCATACCCATAACATGATACAGACGCCACCATGCTTGAAAATATGAAGAGTGGTACTCAGTATTGTGTTGTGTTGGATTTGCCCCAAACATAACGCTTTGTATTCTGGACAAAAAGTTAATTTCTTTGCCACATTTTTGCATTATTACCTAAGTGAATTGTTGCAAACAGGATGCATGTCTCTGAATATTTGTATTGTGTACAGACTTCCTTCTTTTCACTCTGTCAATTAGGTTAGTATTGTGGAGTAACTACAATGATGTTGATCCATCCTCAGTCATCTCCTATCACAGTCATTAAACTCTGTAACTGTTTTAAAATCACCATTTGGCTCATGGTGAAATCCCTGAGCAGTTTCCTTCCTCTCCGGCAACTTCTAAAAGCATGTTTTCACTTTGTCATTATGGGGTATTGTGTGTAGATGGGTGAGAGAAAAAAATCTATTTAATCCATTTTGAATTCAGGCTGTAACAACAATGTGGAATAAGTCAGACTTTCTGAAGGCCCTGTAAATCCCTATAGTCCCTGTAGACTTGATTCAGTGTCCCAGTCCTAATTATCTCCTAAGTCTTCTGTTGTATTAAACCCTCTGGTTCATGTGACTCACACCCCTGCTGACCAGCCCTTTGTTTCTGTTAAATTAGCGCCTAATTTAATCTCTCTCTTCTCTGGTCAGATGACTGAAACCTGACCGGGACTTCTGACTGCATGAGGAATAACATTCACTACAGGAGGCTACCATTCTGACCAGACCATAATCCTGCTAAGAGAGAGAGGGAGAGACACACAGAGAAAGGGAGTGAAACAGAGAGAGCAAGAGAGAAGAAAAATAAGATATTTGGGATTGTGTCATTATTCCTACTCCTGGTCTCTTCAGGAAGCACCAACGGAACTAATGAACCCCAGCTTCTGTTTACAGTGACTCCTCACACTCCTCCTCGAGCTCCATCCCTGATCCCTCGCTTCCGCTCTCCTTTACCCGCGTGGGCGACAATCCATCCATCACACTCCTCCTCTGTCCCCCTCTCCTACCTCCTCTCATCACATTCCCTCCCTCTTTCACCCAAGTGGGGGTTTCTCCTCCCTCCCTCCCTCCATCCCTCATGCACTCCTCCACCTCCATCACGTCACTCTTCTCCTTCACCAGCCCTGCAGTGAAGAGGCTTCTGGGATGGAAACAGGGGGATGAGGAGGAGAAGTGGGCAGAGAAGGCTGTGGACTCCCTGGTCAAGAAACTAAAGAAGAAGAAGGGAGCGATGGAGGAGCTGGAGAAGGCCCTCAGCTGCCCCGGACAGCCCAGTGAGTAACCCTGTCAGATCAAATCAAATAACATTTTAATCGTCACATGCTTCGTAAACAACAGTGAACTGTTTACTTACGGGCCCTTCCCAACGATGCAGAGAGAAAGACATTATAGAGAAATAATAGAAAAGTAAAACATGTAATAATAAAAGTAACAATAGATACACAATGGGTAACAATAACTTGGCTATATACAAGGGGTACCAGTACCGAGTCGATGTGCAGGGGTACGAGGTAATTGAGGTAGATATGTAGATATAACTAGGAATATAGTGACAGATAGTAAACAGCAGTGTATGTGATGAGTCAAAAAAGTTAGTGCAAAATCAGGTCAATGCAGATAGTCCGGGTAGTTATTGGTTAACTATTTAACTAACTATACTGAACAAAAATATAAACGCAACATGTCAAGTGTTGGTCCCATGTTTCATGAGCTGAGATAAAAGATCCCAGACATTTTCCATACGCACAAAAAGCTTATTTATCTCAAATTTTGTGCACAAATTAGTTTACATCCCTGTTAGTGAGCATTTCTCTTTTGCCAAGATAATCCATCCACCTGACAGGTGTGGCATATCAAGAAGCTGATTAAACAGCATGATCATTACACAGGTGCACCTTGTGCTGGGGACAATAAAAGGCCACTCTAAAATGTGCAGTTTTGTCACACAGCACAATGCCACAGATGTCTCAAGTTTTGAGGGAGCGTGTAATTGGCATGCTGACTGCAGGAATGTCCACCAGAGCTGTTGGCAAATAATGTAATGTTCATTTCTCTACCATAAGCCGCCTCCAACGTCGTTTTAGAGAATTTGGCAGTATTTCCAACCAGCCTCACAACCGCAGACCACGTGTAACCACGCCAGTCCAGGACCTCCTCTTCCGGCTTCTTCACCTGCAGGATCATCTGAGACCAGCCACCCGGACAGCTGATGAAACTGAGGAGTATTTCTGTCTGTAATAAAGCCCTTTTGTGGGGAAAAACTCATTCTGATTGGCTGGGCCTGGCTCCCCAGTGGGAGGGCCTATGACCTCCCAGGCCAACCCATAGCTGCACCCCTTCCCAGTCATGTGAAATCCATAGATTAGGGCCTAATGAATTTATTTAAATTGACTGATTTCCTTATATGAACTGTAACTCAGTAAAATCGTTGAAATTGTTGCATGTTGCGTTTATATTTTTGTTCAGTATATTTAGAAGTCTTATGTCATGGGGGTAGAAGCTGTTCAGGGTCCTGTTGGTTCCAGACTTAGTGCATCAGTACGACTTGCCGTGCGGTAGCAGAGAAAACAGTCTATAACTTGGGGGGCTGGAGTCTTTGACCATTCTTAGGGTCTTCCTCTGACACTGCCTGGTATAGAGGTCCTGGATGGCAGGGAGCTCGGCCCCAGTGATGTACTGGGCCGTACGCACTACCCTCTTTAGCACCTTGCGGTCTGATGCCATGCAGTTGCCATACCAAGCGGTGATGCAGGCAGTCAGGATGCTCTCGATGGTGCAGCTGTATAACGTTTTGAGGATCTGAGGGCCCATGCCAAATCTTTTCAGCCTCCTGAGGGGGAAGAGGCTTTGTCGTGCCCTCTTCACAGCTGTGTTGGTGTGTTTGGACCATGATAGATCCTTAGTGATGTGGACACGGAGAAACTTGAAGCTCTCGACTCGCTCCACTACAGCCCCGTCGATGTGAATGGGGGCGTGCTCGGTCCTCCTTTTCCTGTAGTCCACAATCAGCTCCTTTGTCTTGCTGACGTTGAGGGAGAGGTTGTTGTCCCGGCACCACACTGCCAGGTCTCTGACATCCTCTCTATAGGCTGTCTCATTGTCGTCGGTGATCAGACCTACCGTTGTGTTGTCTGCAAACTTAATGAGGGTGTTGGAGTTGTGCCTGGCCATGCAGTCATGGGTGAACAAAGAGTACAGGAGGGGACTGAGCACGCACCCCCGAGAGGCCTCCGTGTTCAGGGTCAGAGTGGCGGATGTGTTATTGCCTACCTTTACCACCTGGGGGTGTCCCGACAGGAAGTCCAGGATCCAGTTGCAGAGGAAGGTGTTCAGTTCCAGGGTCCTTAGCTTAGTGATGAGCTTTGAGGGCACTATGGTGTTGAACGCTGAGCTGTAGTCAATAAACTGCATTCTCACGTAGGTGTTCCTTTTGTCCAAGTGAGAAAGGGCAGTGTGGAGTGCAATATAGATTGCATCATCTGTGGATCAGTTGGGGCGGTATGTGAATTGGAGTGCGCCCAGGGTGTCTGGGATGATGGTGTTGATGTGAGCCATGACCAGCCTTTCAAAGCATTTCATGGCTACAGATGTGAGTGCTACGGGGTGATTGTCATTTAGACAGGTTACCTTGGCATTCTTGGGCACGGGGACTCTGGTGGTCTGCTTGAAACATGTAGGTATTACAGACTGGATTAGGGAGAGGTTGAAAATGTTCGTGAAGACACTTGCCAGCTGGTCAGCGCATGCTCTGAGTACGCGTCCTGGTAATCTGTCTGGCCCTGCGGTCTTGTGGACGTTAACCTGTTTAAAGGTCTTACTCACATTTAGCTCATCTGGTAGGCTCGCATCACTGGGCAGCTCGCGGCTGGGTTTCCCTTTGTAATCCGTGATAGTTTGCAAGCCCTGCCACATCCGATGAGTGCCAGAACCGGTGTAGTAGGATTCAATCTTAGTCCTGTATTGATGTTTTGCATGTCTTATAAGCGTCCGGGTTAGTGTCCCACTCCTTGAAAGCGGCAGCTCTAGCCTTTAGCTCAGTGCGGATGTTGCCTGCTATCCATGGCTTCTGGTTGTGATATGTACGTACAGTCACTGTGGGGATGACGCTGTCGATGCACTTATTAATGAAGCCGGTGACTGATGTGCCTGTTTGAGTTTTTGCTTGTAAGCTGGAATCAGGAGGATAGAGTTATGGTCAGATTTGCCAAATGGAGGCCGAGGGAGAGCTTTGTATGCGTCCATGTGTGTTGATTAAAGGTGATGGTGAGTTTTTTTTGCCTCTAGTTGCACAGGCGACATGCTGGTATAAATTGGGTAAAACGGATTTCAGTTGTCCTGCATTGAAATCACCGCCTCTGGATGAGCATTATGGCCGTATACAGCTCGTTGAGTGTTAGCGCTCTCTCGGTCTTAGTGCCAGCATCGGTTTGTGGTGGTAAATCGACAGCTACAAAAAAATACAGATGAAAACTCTCTTGGTAAATAGTACAGTCTACAGCTTATCATGAAGTATTCTGTCTCAGGCGATCAGAACCCCGAGACTTCCTTAGTGTTAGAGATCGCGCACCCCCCCCCCCCCCCCCCCCCCTTGAGGTGACCCGATGCTGCCGTTCTGTCCTGCCGACGCAGAGGAAAAACCAGCTAAATGTATATTATCCAGGTCCTTGTTTAGCCACGACTCCAGGAAGCGTAGGATATTACAGTTCTTCAGGTCCAGTTGATAGGGTGGTCTCGAATGGAGCTGGTCCTGTTTGTTCTCCAGTGATTTTATAGAACAGGCAGTTTATTTACTCGTCGCCGTGGTTTCATCAGGGGGGCGTCGGCCTCTCTATCACCGTCTCTTTTCTCTTCAGAATGTCGGGGTGAGCAACTTTTAATTTTTTTTTACAATCAGCGCAAAAAAAACATACCAAATAGCAGAATTGGTCAGGAGCCTGTAAAACGGTCGCTATACATTTCAGCGCCATTACACGTGTGTGTGTGTGTGTGTGTGTGTGTGTGTGTGTGTATGTGTGTGTGTGTGTGTGTGTGTGTGTGTGTGTGTATGTGTGACCAGTTAAAGAGTGTTTATCCAGAGATGATGTCATCACTAGGACCAGGAAACATGTCACTCCCGAGTCCATAACAGACAGGAAGTACACATCCATAGGAACCAACTGGTCATGCACTGTTTCATTCAGTTCCATTCACCTTTGTAGCTTATTCTGATATAGTCTACAACACCTCTGATCCAACCTCTCTTTACCTCCTCCAACAGGTAAGTGTGTGACCATCCCCCGGTCTCTGGACGGTCGTCTCCAGGTGTCCCACAGGAAGGGACTCCCCCACGTTATCTACTGTAGGGTGTGGCGTTGGCCCGACCTGCAGTCTCATCATGAGCTCAAGGCCTTGGAGTGCTGCGAATTCGCCTTCGGATCCAAACAGAAAGACATCTGTATCAACCCTTACCACTACAGACGGGTAGAGACACCAGGTATGTAGCTATATTAACCACTACAGACGGGTAGAGACACCAGGTATGTAGCTATATTAACCACTACAGACGGGTAGAGACACCAGGTATGTAGCTATATTAACCACTACAGACGGGTAGAGACACCAGGTATGTAGCTATATTAACCACTACAGACGGGTAGAGACACCAGGTATGTAGCTATATTAACCACTACAGACGGGTAGAGACACCAGGTATGTAGCTATATTAACCACTACAGACGGGTAGAGACACCAGGTATGTAGCTATATTAACCACTACAGACGGGTAGAGACACCAGGTATGTAGCTATATTACCACTAAGACGACGGTAGAGACACCAGGTATGTAGCTATATTACCACTACAGACGGGTAGAGACACCAGGTATGTAGCCTTATAACCACTACAGACGGGTAGAGACACCAGGTATGTAGCTATATTAACCACTACAGACGGGTAGAGACACCAGGTATGTAGCTATATTAAACCACACAGACGGGTAGAGACCCCCAGGTATGTAGCTATATTAACCACTACAGACGGGTAGAGACACCAGGTATGTAGCTATATTAACCACTACAGACGGGTAGAGACACCAGGTATGTAGCTATATTAACCACTACAGACGGGTAGAGACACCAGGTATGTAGCTATATTAACCACTACATACGGGTAGAGACACCAGGTATGTAGCTATATTAACCACTACAGACGGGTGAGACACCAGGTATGTAGCTATATTAACCACTAAGACGAGGAGAGACACCAGGTATGTAGCTATATTAACCACTACAGACGGGTAGAGACACCAGGTATGTAGCTATATTAACCACTACAGACAGGTAGAGACACCAGGTATGTAGCTACAGTGCATTCGGAAAGTATTCAAATCCCTTCTCCTTTTTCCACATTTTGTTACGTTACAGCCTTATTCTAAAATGGATTAAATAAAATAAAAATCCTCATCAGTCATCAAGTACTAAAGTAAAAAGTCCTGTTTTATCTAACCCAGTCTTGTGTTGGAAATGGCACCCTATTCACTAAATAGTGCACTACTTTTGACCAGGGTTCGCATAGGGAACAGGATGCCATTTCAGACGCATCTGTGTTGTTCCTGTGTGTTAATTATCTGGGATAAAGTTCAGTAGAGGGATGTGGGATGAAATCTGATCTCATCAGCACTGTGTTCTCTTCAGAGACAAACTGGATTTACAGTCATCTGATATGAGAAGAACTGTAATTATTGATCAATCTCTCTCTCTCGCTCTCTGTCTCTCTCTCTGTCTCTGTCTTTCTGTCTCTCTTTCACTCTCTCTCTCGCTCTACGCCTTTCTCTGTCTGTCTGTCTGTCTGTCTGTCTGTCTGTCTGTCTGTCTGTCTGTCTGTCTGTCTGTCTGTCTGTCTGTCTGTCTGTCTGTCTGTCTGTCTGTCTGTCTGTCTCTCTGTCTGTCTGTCTGTCTGTCTGTCTGTCTGTCTGTCTGTCTGTCTCTCTGTTCCCTTCCCGCTCCCCTCCCTCCCTCTCTCTCTCTCCTTCTCCCCTCCCTCCCCTCCCCCTCTCTCTCTCTCTCAGTGCTCCCCCCAGTGTTGGTCCCCCGCCACAGTGAGTTTAACCCCCAGCACAGTCTACTGGCTAAGTTCCGGAACGCCTCGCTCCACAACGAGCCCCTGATGCCCCAGAACGCCACATACCCGGACTCCTTCCCTCCTCACCCCTGCACCTCCTTCTCCTCCCCCTCCTCCTCCTCCCTCACCCAGTCTCCCACCCCCGCCAGCTACCCCAACTCTCCCAGCAGCGCAGCCGAACCAGCCAGCCCCTACCACATCACAGGTACTACTACTAAATACATACCTATACTTAATACTACATAACTACTACTACAGTACTATAGCCAGCCCCTACCACATCACAGGTACTACTACTAAATACATACCTATACTTAATACTACATAACTACTACTACAGTACTATAGCCAGCCCCTACCACATCACAGGTACTACTACTAAATACATACATATACTTAATACTACATAACTACTACTACAGTACATAGCCAGCCCCTACCACATCACAGGTACTACTACTAAATACATACATAGACTTAATACTACATAACTACTACTACAGTACTATAGCCAGCCCCTACCACATTATAGGTAGAAACACAATTACTATATTTCTTTACGGCTGCTATAATCTCTATTGAGCTGATTACTGCAATGTAGCCCAAAGGCCGGCAGATGGCGATATTGAGTCGTTTCCGCCTTACTATCCAAATGGCCGGCAATACACTCGTATCCCCCGTGGACCGGTTCATATCTGAAACATTCTCCATTCTGGCTGCAAAGGTGTCTTATTTCCTCCTTAACTAGATTCAATGGCGAGAAGGTGGGGGAAAAAAACGGGGAAAATATGCTTACTTTCTTTATGAAACACCATTTCCCACCACCATGCTAAAGTGGCTAATGCCTAGGAATGCTAGTCCCGGATGTTGCGTATCGCGTTCAGCCAATCAGGTTGCAGCAGTCTGTTGTTTATCCCTGGCTGAACGCAGGGCGCAACATCAGAAAGTATCATTAGCCACTAGCATGGTGGTGGAAAACGGTGTTTCATAAAAGAAAGTAAGCATATTTTCCCCGTTTCCCCCCCCCACCTTCTTCCAGTTAAATCTAGTTCAGGAGGAAATCGACGCCTTTGAAGCCTGAATGGAGAATGTTGTAGGTATGAACCGGTCCACGGGGGATACGAGTGTATTGCCGGCTGCATACAATGCGTTCGGACGGTAAAATGAAACCATCCATACCAGATGAATATCACCATCTGCTGGCCATTGGGCTAACTGCATGGCACTAGTACTACTGCTAGTATTGTAATACAGTACCATTGCAGTAATCATCTTAATAAAGATCAAACAGCTTTCACTGTCTTTACATTTCAATAGTTATTTGTCCTATTATTATAATCCTTTTGTAGCTATTTATTTTTTTACTTTTGATGTATTGTAATTTCTCTTCCTTTCCCACCTCTGTTCCCTC